AAAAAAGAATCACGAAGCAGAAAATTCACCTGCTAGTCCCGACCAGTTCAATAATTTTAAATCAAATAAATACTCACCGTTTTCCTGAACAGTGCTTGCTTTATATTCTACTACCGTATTGTATATTTGACCCAAGACAGATTTTGACTCATAGCTAATGTCTGGGTCCCGTTCCATGTGATGGGGAAACAACTCAGCTTTCAACTCGTCTGGTACAGGGACCTGTGTTGGCAGGAACAAGAATGACAGTTTAGCATGGTGTATTTCCAAAAGCATCCAGTATACAAAATGCCAACATTTGATTTGTCACAGCAACTCAATCCAAACCGAAAAACCAGCTGGAACTGTTCCGGCATTCAATTAAAATCATAGTAGGCATAGTCAATTTAAACCACAATTACAAAGTGTGGCTATATTTCAGCTAATGTAACCCCAGTCGTGCACAGATAAATGGCCAAAGGATTGGTCTTTTAAGAATGCAGCTAATATGGGGATCAACTTAAGAAATAACCTTTTTCCCACTCTTTGGTGCATCTAGTGCATCATAATAGATGTCGACCAACTGAATCATCTTTGTCTTCACCAACTCCTTTTCAGTGGCACGATCATCGCTCAATGTCAACAGTCTGTCCATATATGCAAGCCAGCTATCAGCTGCCGTTGCCATGCTGAAGCTGGCAGAGTAAAATTTGCGAGTCAATATAACATACAAATACATGAAAAATTAAGAAATAATAATCAAAATAATTTTGGCGCAACACAAAGGTAAGGGGGAGAGAGAGAGAGAGAGAGCACAAACTAAACAGCTCACAATTTTGAATTTATCATGAATCTAAAGGGATGTGATGTCAAAGAAGTAGCATTGACCCTCTAGAATACCAGAGACGTACGGGAAATATGATAGTAGGGCGATTTCATGAGATGAAATTAGTTGATTAAGGACATTTTCAACAGTTGAATTTTTGAGTGACTTGAACCAGATGCTTTTAGATACCTGACTGATATAAATCCATTGTTGGTGGTGAATTTCACTTGGTTTCATTGCGTGAGAGCTGATAAATGCAACCAATAATTTGAGTGTTTGTAGAAAAGATATCGAAGCTCTTTTTTTATGAGGGTTAATTGCATATTGATTCACGAATTTTTATCAGTTTTACAATTTACTGACACTTTCTTTTGTTACAATGTCATACTTGGACTTTCTAAATGTTGCAATTTGATACGCTCATTTGTTTGGTCACCCGGGAAGCTGACGTGTCATGATGGAATGCGAAGATGGACGATTGAAACCATGTAGGATATTGTGTCATGATTATTTGCATATTAATTCATGAACTTTTGGTACTTTGCAAAATCATACACAACCTATTGAAATGTGGCAATTAGATACATGTTTATAATTCCAACTTTACTATGGTGCGGGGTCATGAAACACATGATCTATAAATTACCTGAAAAATACACGTATGTATAATTACATTAGGATAATAAAAGAATTAGAATTACAAAAGAAAAATAACCTGTAGTTTAATCCATGTTTATGAAAAAAAATTATAAATTAGGATTATGAAAGACTTGTTCTTCACAAATTCCCAAAAATATATCCTTCATAATAAAATAAATGGAGATCAAAATAAGTTTTCACTTCAAGTTTGTGTGGTATCAGTGTTGCAGTGGTTAATACAAGTGCATTCACTTAGAAAAATTATGGTGTCGTTTTATTTAAAATTGATTACCTTTTTAGAAAATTGATAAATCATATGCTTGCTTGACTGCAATTCTCTTTCAACTTTGAAAAAAAAAATACTATGGTGTCTTTTTATCTTAACCCTTATTATGACAGATAATGAATACAGAAGTTACTTGCTCCAAGACTGGTCGGCACTCAACTCATATCATTTTTGCAAAGATGATTTCCCCAATCTTTTGTCTGCTACTTTTCTTGTTAACCTTATAGCCAAAATCGGTATACAACCAAAATGAAGTGGAAATTAATGCAATGAGTAAGATGCAGAAGATAATCTTGCGAAGACAACTGTCCAAGTGAAGTGAGGCTGAATGCATAATATCTAGCCACTGGTCAATCATTCCAAGATGATACTAGAAAACTAACGATAAAAACACAGAGCAGAATTTCCAAGAATGCAAAAGTAGCTTTAGTGTAAAACTTAATAATACCTTGGTGTCCTTGCCTCCAGAAATAGTTGGAAAAGCTCCCGTTCAAGATGCAGTTCTGAAAACTCCTGTGGATTTTTCTTTTTTGAATGTGGAACAGAGTAGACACGATGCCATGGTTCATGTGCTCTAAAATATTTCAATAGCTGAAATGCAGGAAAAGAGTTGAAATTTCAAACAAGAGACATGTTCTCAAATAAGATGCATTTATAGGAAAACGATTTTTATTTCTGCAAATATTATATGGCATGAAAAACCATGAGGAAACAGTAATGTGAAGATGACAATACGAAAAAGACAATATTATGAAGTCTTAGAATTGAAGAAAAATTAATCAATCCCAACTCAAATAGGACCCTAGTTAAGGCCTTTTTGAAAATGTTCAACTCCAATACTGATATTGGTGTGTCCTTAGTCAAATCGGTTATTCAGGATACCGAGCGACTTTTATTTTGTAACATTTTCTTCTTTAAAGACCCAACACAGCCAAAGTGATCTACAGTGATGAATAACTTATCTGGATGCTAAATCAGTCACAAATCACAGCTGCACATCCTCATTCAGACATGACAGTCTCAACTTTGTCTATTGCTAAAGAGCATGCTGCGGTTTCCTATATTTTATTGAAGACTTCAATGCACAATATTCAAGAATTACATCTATTGTGGTCGTTCAGTGAGAATCTAAACATTTATACACCAATAACTAGGTTTTTTCAATGACTTGCTTCTTTGGAATTCTATAGATAAAAGCTTATGCAAACATGCCTTCAGCACCATTTAAACAAATATTTCTCACGACCTGTAATTTATCAATAAGAAACCTACATATGCTGACCTCTGGATTTCTTGAAACCCAGTACATGTCTCCATCAAAATCACCAGTTGCCATTTCATAAGCTGCTTGTCTGCAGCCTTTGGTGGAAAAGAAAATACCATATTTGGCGTTTCCAATGAACTCCTCTAATTTCTTCACATACACAGCCTTCATACTGTGAACATCTCCAAAATGCATTCCAGGATTCCTATAGACTAATACTGACCCTGAGATTGGACCATTGTCACTGCACATTTATATCAGATGTCGTCAGCAAAATAGTTTCTTGTTTGAAGAAGAATACTTGGCAAATCTTTTCAGATGTGGTTCGAGGAAAGAGAGAAGAAATCATGAAAGAGTGAGGGAGTGTTTCATATGAAGCTTTATGAGTGGAAGTACAAAAACAGGTGCACCACTGATGTGGGCAGTTCATATTGTAGGACATATAAAAACCTGCTAGTGTTGTCTCAGAACAGCTGTTTCTATTCTTACAAAAACGTGAAAAAAAAAGTAACATGCAACACTTCTACAAAATAAATGTAACATGTAATCTACCAAGTACAGTGAAGTTAGCACCCTGGAAACAGATATTATGTAAGATTAGAGAAGCACTTGTACGTACAGTATAACACAAACTTCGTCATAATTTAACATCCCTGTAGGATCAGCTGTCCCCATCAGATAAAAACTCTCAGCGACTGGTATCTTTCCTTCTCTAAGTTTAGTCTTCTCCCCACATTCCAGATTTGACAAACAATGTTGGAGGTACGGCTCATTAAGAGGTACCCCACAAGATATCATTCTTTGAGCCACAAAACCAGAATCTAGTCCATCATGGTTGGAAGCAACTGCAAGAAGAAATTTATACAAGAATAAATAATAGAGTAAATGTTCTGCAAAGACAAGGGGGAAAAAAGAAAATTGGGTCAGAAGTTATATTTTTCCTAAAAAACCGTGTGAAACCCCACCTATGTACTATCCTTTTGATTAATTATGAGAAGAATATATCTATATCTATATATGTTGAAAGAAGTTGATGGAAACCCCACCTATTTACAAATCCCTCCAATCATTTGGTAATGAGCCATATACCGAAAATTATATATTCAAGTAGTCCAAAAATATCATTTAATTTTATCAAATATTGCACCGAACCAGTTTTTATAAAATTCATATTGTGATTCACAATATCATTAAAGATTTTATATAAATGAATAGATTAGATAGGAAGTTTAAAATATTTATAAGAAAAAATAAATAATAGAGAAAATAATAATTTTTTAATTTCAAAATAATATATATTGCAGTATTTTTCAATTAAATGTTTGTTATAATAATTGACACAATTTTTTAACTTTAGCATAACTTATTTAGAAATATTCCATGAGTAATATTTATTGGTAAAGTTTAATATGTTAAATTTCTATTATCCTTAATTATAAACAGAAATTCTAAAATAACAATTATTTTATGACGAGTGAAATAAATCAATAAATCATATATTAGATTATTATATATCATAAAAAGAAAAGAAAAAAATAATATTAATATTCAAAATTATTTTTATACTAATCAATATATCAATGAGCTTATATTAGCAATTTATACTTAATGCCCCGTGCATCACACGGACTACATACTAGTTTTATATTAATAGTTTTACGAGTATTAAATTAGCAACAAAATATATTAATTGACATATTATAATTATTTTACGAAGAAATTAATAACATGGATGCGTTTTCTTTCACTTCTCACAACACCACACGAAAAAGTCTACATACTACTACAAATTGTTAAGAAATAATCAACTTAGATGTTTATATTGTGTAAATAATACTTTTACAATACTAACAGAAAAATTGAAACAAATAAAAACACAAACAAGGTGCGAGAGTAATGAGATATTGTCTTTTCCAAACTTCATTAACAAACAAACAAAGTGCTCGAACATGGCCGGAAAAATTCCGACAAGGCACACTCCCCCACGCACCGGTGCATGAGACTTTCTGCAGAAACACATGCGGCACGTGCAGTGCACACGCGTTGAATGTGAATCTAAACCTTGCCTAGAGGTCAGTTTCCGAACGGTGAGGTGATATAGAAAGGTGAGACTTGAAATTCCCACGAAATGTAACACTAACCAACTACAGTAAGGCTGTTTCTTGGAGAGAACAAACGAAAAAAGAAAAAATGGAAAAACCTAACCTTGCTCTCACGTTATGCTATCAGAGAACTTCTATATATTTCTCAATGATTCAAAGGGTACAAAAAGCCTTATTTATAAACATAAAATAGAAAATAAAAATACTAATCAAATTCCTTATTGTAGATTATATATTTGCTTTTATACAAGACTACTATGTTTACATAATATTCACTAACAATTTGAACCATTCAAGATTTATACAATACTCCATATCTTCTTATGTAGACTATTACTCCCTTGAAAAACTTATAGGTTAAATATTATTTTATCTTAAAGTTGTGTAATTAAGACCATAGAATCATGGTGTTATTGTGCACAGGCAATCTGGAATTTGGATACTTTGTGACACCTGATGAGCAATACTAATCATCTGGTAATTATTTAGTTGGAGATGTCTAATGAATGACCTTAAAAATTAAAGAGTAAATGTTCTTGTTAGAAGTTACGTTTGTCCTACATCGATTAGTTATTGGGCTATCATTAAAGAGAAAAATGTTCTTGTTAGAAGTTTTATCGTCTAGTAATTACATAGATGGACATGTCCAATGAATGGCCTTAAAATTCAAGTAAGAATTGGGGATGAGTTCTACCGAGACCTATTTATCATGGTAACAGAGAATCCAGATTTATTTGATCGGAGGGCAATGTTTGATTTTGAACCAGCCCATTTGGTTTGGCATGTTGCGTGCGAGGGTGGATGTTCGAAGTTATATTTGTCCTACATCAATTAGTTACTAAATTAGGTTGTTATTGAGCATAAGTTTGTGTTGGGCACCATATCTCTTTAAGCTAACTTTTGGGGATGAATTCTACCCAAGTCTATTTATCAGTTCTTATCAAAATAATTCATGATAAATTGTAGATAATGGAATGTAATATGAAATTAGAACTATTATGATTATAGAGCATATATAAACTAACCGAATATAAATGCATGCTAAGAAATAGACCCTTAGATCAGTATGAGTAAAAAATGTAATTCTGACAACTTGAGGGGCCCAATTTGTTAATTCTGGTAAACTGCCAAAACAATGCTAAAATTTGGGGAAAAAAAAGATACTCATATTAGTTATTGTTTGACTGGCTTGGGCACACATTTAAGATCATTTTTAGGGATGAGTTCTGCTCAGCCCATTTGAATCCAATATTTTAGTTCTAAAACATTCTAGAAACAAAGGATGGATTAACTTGTTTTAGATTATGAGTAGGAGATAAGGGATATGGACAATCAAAACATGTATTACACAAGTTGTTATGAAAAATACCTCTAATTGCTGCACGCCTATTGGAGTACACATTTCGAGTCTCCTCCAAAGCATTCATCAGCAAATTCAAAAAGAATTCTTGAGGAACCCCCCCATAGCTTAGAAGGGCAATCAAATATTTTGAGAGATAATTTCTGCTCGGTCTATGACTGAAAGACATATTCAAGAATCTTGAATTAATTGAAAGTACGCTGATGGTTAATCATATCATCAAATGGATGCTTGATTTCCAGGTTCAAGTTTTGACAATCCATAGTGTTATCACGAGAAAGATTAGATAATGCATATGTTTCACTAAATCATATCATCAAAAATCAGGGAAGAAAACAGAAGGGATTTTTGCTAAAGTATTAGAAAATCTGCTAGATGTTCAGCAAGGCACACTTACATGTTGCTGATTGAAAATTGAACAAACATGGCCATGTGCAGACACTTTCAATAGGTCAAATAGAACATAAAAGGAAGTATGGGTTGAGTGGATGTCTTGGTGCATCTAACCCTCAGGATACTATAACTGGTGCAGGTGCAGAGGGCACGAGTTAACAGAAGAAGCTTGCTAAACTCCTCAAATTCGAACCCAAATTTTCACCAAAAGTGAAATTAATATTTGATTCCAAGTATATATTGTAGAATTTAAGTTGACCATCCTAATCCTTTATTGTACAGACTCCATAAAGTAACTTAAAAAACGTTTTTAATTTTAAATGACTTACAATCCATTTCTAACAAATGTGTTTGTGTTGTGCATGTATGCATGTGTTTATTACTTCATTATTGCTGTTGAAGAAGATATATAACGAGGAAAAAGAACTTCTTTTAGTTAGCCATCAAACTAGTATACTAGTTATGCTAGGTTACCAGTGTTGAATTAGTGGGTGATAAAAGGTTATTAGAGTTGAAATTGTAGAAGACTGCATATCGAGAGATAAAGTTGTATTTGTGCTTTGGAATATTTGATACTGGGACTATTCTGATAAGTACGAGTTTTGGAAATAACTTTTATCAAGGATGCAAGCTAAAATCTTCAAGTGCAAGCCACTCCATCCAAAGAGCTTAAAAACTAAAAGGCATCTATCTAGTTTGTGAATTTCAGAAACCTATTCACAACCAATTTCTGATTGATCCAATACTTCAAGGTGATTGTAGGGACTCGAGCAAGGGCATACTTCAAGAGAGAATCAAATAGCAACTGGACTATAATCCTTTTAAATGGGTTCGCTGGATTTCACATTCTATACACTCTAAACTAGTTTGAGGATTTTCTTGAAGATTGAACTGTTGAAGGACATAAAACATCTCCATCTGTTTAACTGCTCTGCTTCTTCTTAATTTATGTGTGCTGATTACTTTCAACATACACATCTAATTACTTTCAACATACACATCTATAAAACTAATGACATCTCTTCAACAAGGATTACCTTTTTTTTGTTTAAATTTTCCAGTACAAGATGCTATGATCATTGTGAAGAGGGCAACAATGTACAAAACATACACTAGTATAGGTATGCCGAGTGTCATTTTATGACATAATATATGTCAGCTAAACCATACTCCGTGTAGCACCAAGATAAAGCAAGATGAAAATCTGCAATTAAAGTGAACTATTATGGAAGATACCTAATGTTAACAATCTCCAGTGAGTTAAAAGCTCCAGTCGTTGGCAGTGTCTCGTCCTTATAAACCTTGATCATGGAACGTCTAATCTGAATTGTTCCTGCTTCAAGCTACAGTAATCGGGGTTGAAAAAGCAATGAATCAATAATGTAAGAAGCAAAAATCAAATGATTCAGCAGCAATTAAAAATCAAATGTTTCAGCAACAATATTAGCTCTCTGCTGAAAGAACAGGATGAAAGTCAGAAAACTAATAATATCATCTACATAAATTATTATATTGATCGAAGAGAGTAGTGATCCCAAGAAGAAAAAAATGCACGTCATATGTCGGTACCATGTGACCCAATAAATGTTTTATACTGTTGTATTTTTCTATCAGGCTAGATAAAGAGTCAAGAAAATGATCCATCGTATCCACTAATGAACATGTCGCTCATGTCTAGACTATAAAACCATGATATGTGTTCTGAATTAAAATTTGATGCCTTTGAAAGTAACAACACATGGATCCACTTGAAAATAATGAAATACTTCATGCAACATGTTGTTATTTTAAATCAACAACACGTGATTATAGTAATAAAAAAGGCGATTAATGAAGAACACGGCAAACTTGAATGGCTTAAATGCTTGCTTTTATTAAGCTTGCATGTTTGTATTTTTGCACTAAATGCTTAGTAATAGCTTTGTGTATTATTTTTATGGTTTCTTGTGGCCCCGGTTGGTTACATTATATAATTGGTAAACAGTAAAAAATCATCATGACTCAATGACTCCTTGATGAGTCATCAGACACGTCGTGTGTTTTGGAGGGTCTTGCTAGTGATTAGTAGCAGCGTGTCTATTTGGGGACAAGAAGTCTATCAGGTTTGTGGGCGGCAACCTTATTCATTATCGGCGGCTTGAACCAGTTACAAGGGGTAACCTTGTTCATATTGTAGGGTGAGATCGACATGAAGGAAGCTTTATGGGGACGGTGTCAATGTGGAGACATTTGTTGGTAGGAACCAGTGTAGTCTCGCCGTAGGGGACTGCCGATGTGATCCTATAGCGTATATTGCAGATACGGTTGCGAGACGAGTGACACGTGGAATCAATTGTATAAAGTGTTAATCCAGATGATTAATCCTTCCTTAGTTTAAATAGATAGAAAATATGCATAACAGTGGGCCCCAAGTTTGTGGGACCAATGGCGAACAGCTGTTGGAGACACGAAGTTGTCTGTTCAAGACAATGCCTATCTACCACGTGTGTTGGGTGTCGTTCGGTATTAAATTCGGCGTCACATTTACTACTAAAACTTCCAAGTCCTTGGCATATTTTAAATAATTTTTCGAAAACACTAAGGGCAACACAACAATATTTTCTAAAACATGCAACAAAACTCAACTTAAATTTAAACTAATGTCACTTTCACAAATCAACCTTGGTAATTTATCTTCAATAATTCACTCACTTCTCAATACTTCAAATGAAACTCAACTCACCAAGACATAATCAAGCTCGAACAATAATATCATGCGATACAGCTGAAATAATCCCAAGTTTGAAAATACGACAATCCATGAATAATAATAGAGCCAAACAAACCAAGTCAACACTATAAATCAATTAAGCCCATAATAAACTTTAATATTTTGTATCAACTATAGAAATGTTCATTGGCGAACACGACTCGATTCTACCGAAAGCTCAAACTCAACTCATTTTTGTCCTTAGATGAATCGACGTTGAACAACTAATCAGGGGAACTAATGACGAACCACTCATTTTTAATTATGTATTTTTCATAAAATACACAATGTTGTTGAACTTATTTAGCCTACCCAACTTGCTTGGGACTAAAAGGCTATGTTGTTGTTGTTGTTGAACTTATTTGCAGAAATTTTGTTTTCACGACCACCTCATTTAGGATCTTAGGTTTATTAAATGAGTCAAGTCTTTTAAAATATTGATTTGGCATCGTCTGACAAACTTAACTATTTTCTAGAAGATTTTCTAGTTAGACAAGCAAAATAAATTAAAGGAACACGGCAAACTTGAATGGCTTAAATGCAACAATATTTTCTAAAACATGCAACAAAACTCAACTTAAATATTAACTAATGTCACTTTCACAAATCAACCTTCGGAATTTATCTTCAATAATTCACTCACTTCTCAGTACTTTAAATAAAACTCAACTCACCAAGACATAATCAAGGTCGAATAATAATACCATGCGATCCAACTAAAATAATCCCAAGTTTGAAAGTACGACGAATAATAATAAAGTCAAACAAACCAAGTCAACACCATAAATCAAATTTATTAAGCCCATAATAAAATTTAATATTTTGAATCAACTATAAAACCGTTCTCCGAATTGAGGATTTCGCGAACACAACTCGATTCTACTGAAAACTCAAACTCAAATCATTTGTCTACTTAGATGAATCGACCTTGAACAACTAATCAGAGAACTAAAGGGAGTTTGTTCACGAACCACTCATTTTTAATTATGTATTTTTCATAAAATACACAATCCTGTCGAACTTATTTGCAGAACATTCTTTTTTTCACGAGCACCTCGTTTAGGTTCTTAGGTTTAAATGAGTCAAAATCTTTTAAAATATTGGTTTGGCATCGTCCGACAAGTCTAAGTATTTTCTAGAAGATTTCTTGTTTGGCAAGCAAAATAAATTAAAAGAATGTTTTCTATTTATTTGTTTGTCAATTAGTAATATATGGTATATTTATTACAGTATGTATTATGGAGTCCACTTTTGGAAAAGGATTACATAATGATATAGCCACATAAGGATAACCCGGTCCAAAGGCTCCCTACTCGACCGGTGAACCACTCGAACAACTTGCATGTCGACATGACCCCGTCGACATGCCCAAATCGACTTACCTAAAGTCAATTCCACCAAGAGCAACCGAGAAGAGACAGAAATTGGTCTAGTCGACTCTCCCAAGTCGACCTTAGTCTATCGACTTTCACTAGTAGACATCAACGGAAGAAGAACAGCAAGAGCGTAACGCCTGAGCATCCCGATATCCTAAGTCGACTCCCAGTAGTCGACTCAACTAAAATGACTCTATGAAGACGACTTCACCCCAGAGAGTTATCCAAGCGTAGCCTCCGAATCCGTACATACCCATAAGTCGACCTCCTAGCTTTCGAAGTCGACCCCACACACCTCGAATAGCAGAGATGTGATGACGACTCATCACACTTGTAGCACACTTGAAGTTCCGCATATTATAAAGGATAAGAAGGAATCTTGTGATGACTCAGCAACAAGGGGAGACGAATCGACCAGGGCATTTTGGACCTTCTAGGTCCACCGACTTGGGCATTTTGGGCACTAAGTATTCGCTCCTATATAAAGGAGATGAGGTAATCCCAAACCCTAACTCTGATTCATTCCCATTCTCCCCCATAGCTGCTGCGCAGCATCTCTTCATCACTCTCATACTGACTTGAGCGTCGGAGACTCTACGCCGGAAACACCTCCGGCGTTGAGTTTTTGCAGGTATCTCGCGGTCTAGCAACAATTCGGAGGCGATTCAAGCAGATCTGAGCTCACATCCACCGGTTTACTCCGGATCTGGAAGTAGACCCATCACATAATATATATCTTATATATATTGACTTACCGTATATGTCGTTTGCATTATACTATACCATAATTAAATTTCTCTCTTCTCTCTTGTAGGATAAGGAGTATGCGGTAAAAACTATAAAAGGACGAACCACCCACACATGAAATATCGTGGAAGTTTAGAGAAGATCTAAAGAGAATTAGAAAAGATTCACCGCAATATCTCTTAGATTAGAGGATCGGCTATTTAAAGAAAGTCATTTTCCTGTACAATTTTTGAAATGCAATTCTAAAGATCTCCAATTGCAATTTCTGTACGATTTTCCTATTGAAGATTTTGAAATGCAATTCTAGAGAAAAGAGTTGAGTTTTATTTTTCTCTCCTAGGCATATTGAGTAACTTTATTATTTGAAACTTTGTGAATTCAGATTCACAAATTCAATTTTGCGTTCCTGCATCTCCGAAGGACTAAAGCATATGATCGTCATACTTTATGGTATTACCAGCTTGGAGGGATTCCTGTAATAGTTGTTAGTCCATATTGTGGCTAGTAGTAGAATCGAGTAATTTGAAGAGAGTCACGTAAGTCCAACAATATCTCACCAATTTGATGAGATTTCTACTAGGTCCAACAATATCTCACCAATTTGATGAGATTTCTACTAGGAATTTGTCTTTGGAATTTTACTAAAAAAGTCTCCAAAAGTCTTCTAATTTAAAGTCTAATAAGTTTTTCTACATCTGGTGACTTCTAAAAAGTTTCAATTGAAACCCTTAGACTTTTAGGGGGTGTATACTGTATCTCTTTGGAATTTTGAGTGACATTTTAAGACTTTGAGATTTTTTAAGATTTTCAGATTTAGAAGCAATCCCATAAAATCTTAAGTTTGGAGTCGAGATTTTGAAGTGGGATTTTCTATATGGTTTTTTCTTTCAGCAAATCATAAAAAGTCTTAACAAATCATAGTCTCAAATAAGTTAAATATCTCATGATTTTGTAAGACTTTAAAATCTCAAATGAATACTGCGAGACTTTTACAAATCTTAAAAAATCTAAGGAGGGTGTATTCGTTTGAAATTTCAAGTGACATTTTGAGACTTCGAGATTTCGGACTTATAAAGAGTTTCAGATTTAGGAGAAATATAGTGAAATCACAAGTCTGGAGGTGGGATTTTGAGAGGTATTACATGTACCGTTTTTTCTTTCGAAATCACAACAAATCTTGAAACTTGTAACAAATTTTATTCTCAAATAAGTTATATACATGATTTTGTAGGACTTATTAAAATCTCAAATGAATACCTCATGACTTTTAAAAGTCTTAAAAAATCTGAATTAAATACATTAAGATTTCTGAAGTCTTAAAAAGTCTTTGGAAATCTCAAAACTCTAATTTAAATACACAAGGATTTCTGAAGTTTTAAAAAGTATTAGAAATCTAAAATGCACTGCCTTAGAATTCATAGTCTTTCAAAGTCTCAATCGAATCCAACTTTTTTCCTTCAACGACTCTAAGAAATAATGGTCTCTAAAACATAGGGGAACTTTTTAAAAGCCTCAAAAAAGTTTTAGTTGAATACACCAGAATTTTGAAAATATTAAAAAGTAAGTCTTCCTTAGAGAGTTGTCAATAGAATAAGTAAATTTTTCGTGCTGGAGACAGAATATCGTCAATAAGATTATGTATTCTCTTTTTCTTGATACTTTACTTCTAACAATTGATTCGGCCTGTTCCGTTGACCCGTACGGATGAGCCGAATGGATAAGAAGCATAGAATCTTGAGTTGCAACCATAGAGAAGGGCCATGAAGCACTCAAGCATCGACTCACTAATGGCGGGGAGGCCATCACCTAGAGTGGGTAATGCAATTTTTGTTAACCAAGGACCAATTTGAAGCCAGTGACTTCGACACATCCCAAGTCAATCATGCTAACAACTTGCTAGATTCCACTTACCCAGTTCTCGTGAATCACCATTGGCTACAAATAGAATTCCTTTATTTTGCTGTTCCGCGACTTTTGGTACAGTCAGATTCATACCCTGACAAGGCTGTCAAGATGCCCACGCCACCCGATTGGATTTTTTCACGCTTAATGAAGATTTCCTTGTTGTCACGCAGTTGCCTAGCAACTATGATACAATCAAGGTTGCAAAATCCATGGCATATGACTTCTCTTCTCCAACGACGAACAAGAGGCAAATAATTCATGATTCCATGATTACAATCCCCATGCAATAATCAATGGTGTACTTTTTCACAACGGTCGTAAACTGGGACCTTTTCCAATTCAGCCCTGAGGGCAAGGTTGTTTTCTAGCTGGCGGCAAGATGAAGAATGAGAAAGATATTAATTTTAGAACATTTATACTGATATTTGGATCTTAATCGGGGCTTAATCTTAGAGATTTTGATTGACTTAATATTCCTTAAATGTTATTATTCCTTTAATTATATATTATCATTTTATGTTGGCTAAGGTTAATGTGTTATTGTAAATATTAGATTAGGATATCTGAATTAGGTGAGATAGGGATACCGTAGATTAGGTTACTGGTTTATTTTTATTTTTCCTTTCTTACTACATTTAGTGGTATATATACATCTTATAATCCTTATTATGAAATACAACATATCAGTTTACCGTTCTACGTTGCGTCAGAATGTTTATAGATCTGACATACATAAAACATAAAAGGGAAGATGATTATACCTTTTTATTGACGAGAAGAGTTCCCTTAACAGCATTGCCGTTATAAAATAAACGGCATTGCATCAGTAAAGGCTGAAACAGTGGAACAAAACAAAAGTTACCAAGGAATAGTAAGTTAAAACCCCAGAAAATAATAACTCAAACAATTACCGGCTCCTTATTCCTGATGTCAGCTTCTCTCTTTTGACCGGCTATTTGCTCGAAGTCGACAAACTGATCATATTTCCAAGGTAATAGCCAAAAAATATAAATATAAAAACAGTTAAACAAGATAATTCTACATAAAGAGGAATTTTGAGATAATTTGAACTATAACTATAAGTGAACAAAAAAGTGGTGCTGTCAGCAAGCTAAGCTCGCCACTATGAATTAATAGATTTTCAGACCAATTAAACCTATCAGCACGAGTTACCCACACAAGTTATAATTACACCAGACCTGAAGTTTAAATATTTTGGGAACTGTTTGCAAGTTACTACATCAAAATTAAATCATGAAAAAATGTATCCACCCCCCTCTTTACATCCTCAAAAATCTTAATAAATCAAATGTGTAACATAATAAGAACAAATTAGCTGGGTTGAAATCAGCCTAGACAGCAATGAAAACAGACAGCTGAAAAAAAAATCTCTTGATAAATGGGCTTGGGTAGAACTCATTCCCTAAAGCTAGCTCAAGGAAGAGGATGCCTAACCCAGACTTTTACACAATTAACAGCTAATAGATGTAGGACAAACTTACATTCTAACATCTCTCATCAGAAAAATATAGAATTGTGTCTAGGTTAAATATAAGTATATCATTTATCTCTTCATGATTGAGAAACTAAATACAAGTATTATGTTAAAAAAGAAAATCTTATATAACCTCAAAACTGCTCTCTCTTAAATACTTTGCAGCAGAAAAATCTTTCGGGCACTTCATTGCCAGGTCTTCAGAGATAAAGCCTGTTCCGTCCGTGTGTAAAATAGGCTTCCCATCTTCGTCATGGATCATAGAGCCTTTCTCATCCTAAAATTTTAGAACAAGAAAGATGAAGCACACACTTCTATCTGTTTCCAGAATATGAAAAGAAAACCTGACTATTGTCAGAGATCTAAGGATAAGAAAAGTTAAAATTAAGCAAAAACAAAGCGTACTCTAAATGGGATATCCTCAATTGTTTCTACTTTAACAGCAGCAAAATTGATTTCCATCTTTATTGTCTTTGAGAGGATCAGCGATAATCTGAGTCACAATGAATGATTAGAAAATCAAGTTTCTGAAAAAACAATTTTAGAAGCTGTCGACAAAAAGCATGATAGCTACAATAAAATAAACCTGGCCATGTACTTTTCTATGGTTGAAATAGTGTGTATGTGCATGAACAGACACCTTGCTTCACGAATTGTTTTTCCAGACAAAATATAATTTGTGTCTCCATCATTTGGAGATACAGGGTCAATACGGACAAAGTAGCACTTGACAGCAGAGTAAGTGTTTGTGTCCTTCATCGCTTTGTTTTTCTTCACTTTCTTGCGCTCATCTTTGAACACTGTACAACGGACACAATGGAAATCCTAGTTACTGAATTTCCTAAAAATACAAGTACCGAGTCATATTATACGTACTCACACTATCAGATAGCAGAGAACCTCCCAAAGACAGCAAAGATTACCAAGACATACACTGGAGAATTTAAATTTTGTCTATCAGGAACCTATAACTAGAGTCCGAATATTAACCATTCAAAACTAAATGAATTACACCATAAATTATACATGTATGGCAGAAATTGAAAGAGAGAAGATACTGTGAGCAGAGCTGGATAGGTTGACTATTTTCTAATTATCATTAAAACCAAAATGAATAATATTATCAGTGGTAGAAAAAAGGCATTAATACACTTGAAAAAGAAAATTAGAGTTAACTCAAATGCCTAGACTTGAAATCCTCTAGAATCATAATATAACTTTATTCATTTTTCTGTGTTTCTGATTATTCAACCAGCTTGGATCTGACAATCAATGTCTGCTATGCTGCTTATGCATGTCAACTAAGCAATTCAATCAGAGTCAAATGTCATCACATATTGACACTGGTAATTCATGTGTTGGGCATAGTATGAACTATCCTATCAGTTCCTACATGAATAAAACCATGAGACATACTTCTAATGAGCAACTAAACAAGTACTACGGGACAATGCCAAAAACTGATTATAATACTGTGTCCAACTGACAAAGCAAATGAATCATATTAATTTTATTTCAGATATATGAAAGTTTGAGCCTGACTTTGACTGTTTTCCATATTATCCTCTAAAAAAATTGCACATAGAAATATAAGGGAATATGAAAGTAAAATCACAAAAACTGGCAAAAAATAAATACGATAATCACCAAAAAACCGATAGCGCTTCAGACCAACAAGAATTCCTTCGTTCATGATATTGCCTATGACAGATTGCCATTCTTTTGGAAACTTAACTATCAATATGTTATCATCTCCCAATGACCTTTGCAGGTGAGTTCTTGTACTATTTAGATAAGGTCCCTGTATTGTCCAAAAAAAAATCTTGTGACGGATTAAGAATAAGGTATTACTATGAAATAATGGTTATCAAAATCAATCAGTGCAGATATCGTATGAGCTACAAACTGTTTGCCCTGACATAGCTAAACTATATATAAACTAACAAAAACTACTGATAGAAAGTGCTGCTTCGTGTAAGAACTAAGAAAGAGGAAAAATGATTGCGTAAAATTATTAATATTATGAAGCATAATAGAGGAAATAAGAAAGAGCTGGATTAAATATATAGGCAGGACTAACCTTGAAATTATAACTTCCGTCTTCACAAACATGACAGTAGTAAAGATGGGTTTTTCCTGAATCCCACGCAAGATACTGCAAAGAAAGAACAAAATGGCCATGAAACTGAAACCTTGATATAAAAGATATTCTTATCTAAACTTAGCAGTAATCCTCACACAATAAACATGGCATGTTTATAAACACTGGTGATTATTTTTTAGAAGTACATTCTTATCGAGGAATTCTTATCGGGGAAGATAAGTAAAAAAAGTAAGGCAAAAATATTGGTAACACACAATTACAATTCAGAATTATTCTCTTTCGTGATTACAATAATGTGCACAGTTTAAGCAATAAATCAATATGTGATATCCCTTTTGGGGATTCTGATGAGACAAGCCTCGACACCCATATGTATGTAAAGCTGGAATATAAAACAAGTGCACAAATATTTTAGTCCAACCAGAACTCTTTACAAATAATTTTTGTAGCAAGCTATGAAAAGAAACAGCCTTGATGTTTTACTGACCTCACTACGATCTGATTCAGCATAAAATCTCTGACCATACGTGTCCCACATTTTAGTCTCGAAATCTTTCATGGGAAGGTCTTTCATGGCGTAAATATTTTCAGCGCCAGCTAAAGTAACGACAGCTTCCAACTTTTCCCTAGAAAAGTGAAATCGGTTTTAGGCCCACCTAACCCTTATTCCAAACAATGTAAATAGAAGGACGAGAAGAAAAACTAACTTCCCAATGTAGCTTAGAAGTAAAAATAACTTTCTGAATTCCAGCTTCTTGAGGATAGTGAGCTGCTGACTAATTGCCCCCGACCCTGTTGTCTCTCTAAATTCACAAGCAAACGGCGATTGAGTTTTGGGGCTAGGGCTCGTCTTTCCTTGAGTTTCAAAGTTCATCTTTCCTTGACTCTCATCTTCGAATGATGGCTGGCAGCTGATATTTCGAGGGCTATTCCTATAGTGACTTGATGAGGGAGAATCCATTGACAAACTTGAAAAAGAGTCCTCCAAAGTACCACCATCTGACCAAGAAAAGAATCATTACATTTACATAGGGTACAAAAATCGAAACAGAAAAGTTGAAAAACACTCACCCAATTTAGCGAGCACAGTTTGGCCGACAATTGGGTGGTTATTCACAACCAGGCGTCGGACCAATCCACTGAAGCTCGTGATTGGATTATTATAAAACAAAACGGTAGTGAGGAGCTTAATAGAAGATTGCTCCCCAATCATAGCCAACATCTGTCTAGTGTAATTCCTGAGCGGTGGCTGATCTCTTTCAAGGCAAATTCTTTCGATCATCATCTCCACCGATTCCGGTAGACGGAACTCCGAAGCCCGGCCGACCATCTTGCAGTCTTTTCCTTTCTATTCGTATTGCTCTTCAATTCCCGTACGTTACTTGTTTTTGGAGTTATATTATGGATGGATGATCTTTCTCTGTGGGAATGGAGGAGAGAGTTTGAAAGAGAAGTAGGACAGCTTTAGTAGTGCTCACTGATCACATCACATTTATTATCAACTATCAAGTGGTCAGAAAATGCAGGCGGTAGGGTGTCTGGTCCTTGATTTCCCGCTGTTCTGTTTGTTTTCGAATCTTGTATTTCCTTCTATTCAAAGTAAGTGTCATTTAAAAACTTGCACACTAATTAAGAATATTATTTTTACCAATAATAATCTTCTTTAATGAAAACAGAGAATGATATTTTAGAAAAAATTAAGAGAGAATATTAAAAGATGTAATGTATTCATTACCTAAATGAGGGTAATAATGAAAAAATATGTACAAAATATCCAAAACGACATTTATTTGGTTAATAGTTAATAAAGCCAAAATGACATTTAAAGCGAATAAGAGGTAGTATTTCTTTTTATGTGCTCTTAAGCGTCTACAATTTTATGGATCTGGGGGCTATGCGGTGAGTGTTTAAATAGTAGAAATCTTCAACTTTTGGATACATTAAAAGTAAATCTAGCGAATACTACGATTTAATATCTAGCGGTCGATATTGCGGCACAACAGATGTCTGTTGTTTAAGTGAACACCGCAGAGCCTCCAGATCCCAATTTTATAAGGGTATAGCTATTCACCGCCCCCATATTACTAGTCACCGTCCTCCTTGGACGATTTTGCCCTTCTCATTTTTTTTTAAAAAATCTCAGAGGAAAGTGTACCAGGCGATTTCCAACGAAATGTCGACTTCTTCTGATGTAAAATTTTTTCCCGCCCAGCCGGTGATCGCGTACGCGACCGGTCGCGTCCGACCGCCGATACCGGGCGGCCCAAATGGCGTCCGGCAGGTCTGGTCGGACACGACCTTGTCCGTACGTCAAAAGTGGGCCGTGCAGACCGGTCTACCGTTTGTCCGGCGGCGATGGCCGGACGTGATCGGTCCGGCCGGTTCGACCGGCAGGACGCCTTATTTTTTTAAAAAAGAAAATAATATTATTAGAAATTGTTATGTTATAAATTGGACGTTAGATATTATCGTGTTAAGAGTTAAAAATTATTATACATTAGACTTGATTGTGTTATAAATTAGACGTTCGATATTATCGTGTGAGAAGTTAGAAATTATTATGTTATTTGGACGGTAGATATTATCGTGTTAGGAGTTAGAAATTATTATGTTACATGTTAGATTTGATTATGTTATAAATTTGACGTTAGATATTGTAATGCCCCAATTAATTGTGATTTTATATTGTGGATTATTTGATTATTGTTATTATTATTACTATGGTATGTCAAAATATTATTATTTGTCTAATTGTGATTAATTGCCTAAATGATTATTTTTATTATTAATATAATAAGTCGTATAATTTTATTTTGTTCGTCGTCCATCGATTAGTTCGAAATCCTTGGTTATTCGTGTTATTAATATCCGAACCATTCTCCGAGTGTTGAGTTTGATAATCGACCCAATTTATCCGGAATATTTTTTGTCCTTTCGAATAATTTTGTTTCGGCTCAAGTCGAATTATTTTCGACCTTTATGTGCTATTAGATTTCCAGGTCTTTTTATTTATGCTCAGCCAAATTGTGAAGTCATTATTTGGCCCACACTTATTATTTTTCGGCCCATTTGAGATAAAATTTAGCCCTAATTCTTGCCCTTTAAACTCTTCAAACCCATCACCGCAACGCATCGTTCAGACGAGAAAAAAAATTGAACTCTACCCTTCTCCGTTTAAGCGAGAAAATCCCTCCCGAAACCTCCCTCAATCTCGCAAATCGGCCTCCTCCCGCCGCTGCCCTCGAACCACCGCCAACAATAGGCCGTCGGCGTCCAAACATTCATGACAGGAGCGTAATTTTGAGAACCCGATTTCAAGCGTCTGAGGGAGAAATTAGCCGGCGATAGTGAAATTCGACGGGTCGAGCTGTGAGCAGGCGAACCATGTCGTTCAACCCTTCACGGCGGTCCGATATCCAGCGACTAGAACCAGGCCCGACGACGAGAACCCCAGCGTTTCAGCAATTTCCGGCGAGATCAAGCTTTACCCCTAGTCGCGACTAATCTCGACTCCCGACGAGCTTCACCACCGTCCGGTCACGCTGAACTTCCGGCAGACTTCACAGAGACGAGCCGCGGTCCTAAACTTCAGGCTCTGTCCGATACCTTCAGATTCTCATGCCTCAAGTTCCGAGCAGCGGAGGCTTTGAGTTTTTTCCAACGAACAGTAGCAGATGGGATGCCGTTTAGCGGGCAGGCCGCCATCATCGTTTCAGCCGGTGACCCCCGACCACGTCAACCTTCTTCCGTAGCGGTCGATTTCTTTTTCTATTCCTCCGCGGCGGTGATGTCGAGCAGCCCCGTTCGAAAGAAATCCTTTGTCGGTTTCTTTTCGAGCAGCCCGTATGGGCGAGGGGAGCCCAAAACAGCAGCGGCAGCCTTTTGGGCCCGTGCGGGAAGAACAGCGATAGTCCCGTTTATGTCCGAGCAGCGGGGTTGAGCCTTCCGGAGAGACGCGGGTGAGTAGCAGCAGTCTCTCTCGAGTAGCGGGGCCAAAACGAGACCGAGCGTGTCGAGCCCGAGTCTGAAAGATCCTATTCCTTGTCCCGCAGTCCGTGTGTATTTGAGTAGTGGGGTAAATTTCGAACCCAACCTTTGATCTTTGTGCTCTTGTCTGATTTTGATGTAAGTTGTTTGAATTGTTGGAATTCTGTGTGTCATGGCAGTGGCTACTTCATAGCTAGTATTTCTATGAATTAAGGATTCAAAATGTGATGTCTCCAAGCATAAATTAGTTCTTGCCGCAAGCATTTTCTTATATACTGCATTTGTTGTGAACTTGAAATCTTAATCGTTTTCAAAGTTGAACTTAAAAGGGAGCTTGTATTTGTTGGCCATTGGTGGAAAAATATAACTTTAACTTTGTGAAGTTGCTGAGCATGTAGTATTGTTATGACCTTATAGTTTAATGCTTGTTTTGGTTGTACCATTTCCGTGAATTGTGTTGATTTTCATAATGCATATAGCATGTTGTGTTGTGACCTCATTATGATATGTTCTTGGTGTTATGTACTTATTTGCTTTTCATGTTATGAGGTTTGACAATGTGAATTGTATGCTGAAAGTTTTAAGAGTTTTACATGTTGTATAAGTGATAAATTACCAAGACCATGTTCATTTATAAAGTCCATAAGCATGTTGGTGTTTTGGAAAAAGAAAAGAGGCATGTTTGTATATTGGTTTTGATCCATCGTTGCTGCTTGTACATGCTGGTGCTGGTGCTGAGCCTATTATTTTGTTATCATGTTGAAAGTGAAGTGGTTTTGGAGTTTTCATATGAGGTTATAAGACTGTTAGCAGGTATATTTATGATTAAAAAAAAAAAAGAGAAAATAGAAGGCCATGTCATGTATTTCGTATTATTTAATTGAATGCTTATTATGTGTATTATAATAGACTTGTTGTGTTTGGGCTTTGATTGATCCTATTCGATGTTGAGCCTTTTTATACGATCTAGGGGTTGAAGTGTGCTTTACTTGCTTGTGTGGCCAAATTTACCCAATCAAAACCCTTAGTAATAATCAAACCCTAAAATGTAGGTGTTGAGGAGTCGAGCCTTGACCTACGATCCACTAGTTGTATTTTGCACTTTCGGGATACCAGGTGGGTACATTTATGATGTATTCCATATTTATCGCACTTAATATTTCGTATAAATGCTTCTTTTGAAAAATGATGTATGCGTGAGAACCCTAGTCTAAGCATCCCATATGTTAGTGCCTTTGAGGAATGCATAAACAGTGAGAGGTCATCGGCCCGTAGATTCGGAGAGGTGACGCCCAGGTCCGTATGATATTCGTGAATGGGAAAAACGTCTCTACTGTCTCCTGGAAAGGATCCCAGGCCCGTAGCCATTCGGTGATGGGAAGGTTACCAGTTACTTCCTTGCCGTGTGTGATCGGAAGGTTGTTGTATGTACATAGGAGGTTTTGCGATAGGGCCACGTAGGGAGTTAGACTGTTGGATTCTATGCATACTGAATACTGTGGTTATGATAGTTTAAAATGTTATGCGAGATATACTGTGCGATAATGGTGAGCTTGTTGGTTATGCTCACCCCCATTATTTTTCTTTGTTGTGCCTTCTCTTCCTTTGCTTTAGGTTGAGACGAGCTGGAGGCGGTGGCGTAAAGACGAGCGAGATGGTGGTCATTTACTGGATGTGTCTTTGCTTCCGCTTGATTTTATTTTTGTTAAACTACTTGCTTTTGTTTTGGATTGTTAATGCTTCTGTCGATTTGGATTATTTATTTCTTCTCTTTCGAACTATGTTTGAGTTACGTTTGAGCCTTGATTTATGCTAGACGATTGTGAATGATTTTTAGACTTATGTTCTTTCATGGGATTGGTTATTTTGATAGCTCGAGTAGATGTAGGTTCTTTGATGATTGGTTGTGTTGTTTGTTGTTATTAATAAGTAGCGCCCGGTTCTCGTTAAATGTTTTTAATTTGGATCTTAAACGTTAAATGCTTTTAATTTGGAGTAAAAAAAAAAACTCTGATTTTTATTTAAATAAATTCGGTAAATTCTTTAAAATAAAACGGGGCGTTACAGTTTGGTATCAGAGCCAGTCTTGTTTTTCTGTAGACTGGTTCATATGTGATTAAGTGTGTAAGGACCATTTGACCACTCGCTTTCGTCTCGCCGCGCCAGCTCAAGGTATGAGTTTTATTGTTTTGATTATTATCGATATCGCAATTATGGTTTGTTCTTTTATTGAGGCTTAGGAATTTACCCTCCGTTTATACGGACTTGAACTCTAGTGGTGTAGAGTTCAGTGCCGACTTTAGAAATGTTTGTTGTGAGTTTTCGGGTTGGTGTTATCGAGTTAAGTTTGGTCTATAACAGTGCACTCGTTATGGGTTTCTGTTTAGTACCATCGAGTGAGAATCATTCGTAAGCTATCTCGAAAGAGAAGGCTTAAGTAAAGGGAACAGACAAACGAAGAAGTCCCGGATGTGTGGATTATTCGGAAGTTTGTGACTATTGTGGCTAGAATTATTAGACGCGTGTAGAACCCGGTCAATGGGAATCAGGGGTGGAGTCTAAGTGTCGGTTTCATTTCGATGATCCGAACACTTGTGCGTGTAGATTCGTGGGAATCAGGTGGCTGATTTTCCCTTGTTATTAATTGTTCGTTTTTATCTGTTCATTTCTCGTTAGTTCGTCTTGTGGAATTCTTCGTGGGTATTAGAACTCTGTTGTTGAGTTCTTGATACCCTCTTCTTTTTGTTATGTATGGCTGAGTTGTTGCCAAATTAATTCGAGCCTTGACTTGTCATCCGAACCTTCGTTTCGTGATTTTTCGTACGTTGTAATAGTTGGTTGAAAAACCTCTTTTTGAAAACCTTTCATTGATGACTATTTTGGTCGCTGATTTGACCCCTTAAACTCGGTCGATTGACTTTGAACTCTTTTGATGAGTTAAAGTTCTATCTCTTATGTTTCATCTTGAGCAGGAACCAAGTCTTTATCATTTTCGTGTTGGATGATGTGGCCAAAGTTTTGCGAGTGCGCGCCCAGTTTTCCTAATTTTTTCGGTTTTGTGGGTGATCTGTTTCCATGGCTGTTTTTAAACCCTGAAACCTCGTCGTTTCTTTTTGAAGTCTTCTTGTAAATTTTAGATCAGCCTGTTGCCTTTCATGAGGAACAGGAATCGCGTGTTTGTTATTTTTTATTTTTTATTTATCGATAATTGCGCCGATCCGATCGTTGCATAGTCAGTTTTTCGTGTAAATCGCAACAGTTGGAGTCTTTTCATTTTTTCGCTATTTTTGGCATGTTTCTAGTAACCTGGGAACCTCGATGTCTTCATATGAATTGTAGTTTTGCCTCTTACGATTCAAACGGTGCAAGATTCATTTAGGGGATGCGTTTAAGATACGAACTTCGTGCAATCAGATTTCTGAAAATTTACAGCAAATATTAACGTGCGAGTTTGATCCGTTTTCAACCCTTTAACCTACCGTTTCCGCCTTTTCTACCGGAGTGCTATTCCTTTGTCCTTGAATACTACCTTTCGCTTAGTAGTCAAGTTTCAATTGTATTTCGTGACCCATTCTTATTATTTGATTTTCGTTCTGTGTCAAATTTGCTTGAATTTCTTTTCTTTGTGGAGAATTTTGGGATGGAGTTGAGCATCGAACCTTAGTTTCTATTGATCCTTATCTGATATCGAACCGTGTGCAGTAACTTCGCTAAGTCGGTGCGAAGGTCAACTTGAAAATCGTCGCATACCTGATCGGGAGGAGCCTCGACACCTTTCTAGGGATATTTTGTTATAGGAAAATCTTTTAAGGAGGGTAGTCAAGCCAGATGTAAGCACATCGTGCAGTGCAGAGCCGTCTTCGTTTTAGAATTGCGTTCATAGTTAATTTTTGAAAACTCTCGTTCTTTTTCCCTTCGTAGTTTCGAGAGTGAACCTTTGTATTTTATTTGACTCTTTGGCAATCCTCTGAAAACTCTTGTTTTTGTTGTTTGGAGTTTCATTTCAAGATTTGCAACCTGATATATTGATTAAGACTAGTCTGAAATCATTCCTTCGATTTCTTTTGGTGATGTCATTCGGTCTGGTACTTCATTCATACCCAGATCGATTAGTCGTGTTTTATTTTTTTTATTGTTGACGACCTATATTCGAGACGCGATCGAGACCAATCAACCAAGGAGGCTTCGAGATGAGATCCAGAATCGTGAAAATCTTAGCAGCGTAGAAATTAAGCTCGTTTAGAACTGTCGGCACGATTAGCTACTGGTGAGAGAGCTGACGTGACGGCCGACACTGTTAGTCGGAAGGGCCATGCGAGCTGATCATTTTCATTGCTCGGCAATGACCACTGTGTTGGGGATGAATTCCTAGCTGAGGATGCTAATATTCGTTTTCTTTCGATATGATGATTTGGAAGCCCTGAACCATTCGAGATTGTCGATACCTAAATGCTGGGGGATAATGTCCTTGTTGAACCCTAGTGTTTCTTGGTTTTGTGAAGACCTTTCCTTCCGGGTTACCTCAGATAGTGCGAACCTTGAATCAGAGTAATTCTTTTCTGTATCTCGAACCGAACGCCGACACTGACTGGGTATAGTCACGCGAAGTGGTGGTCGAGCACGCGAGCCTGTGCTGAGAGACGTGAGGCACTGCAGTGCCGATCGTTGACTCGCACGAGAGCTGCAGCCACCATCACCGAATGCAGGAGCTCCCCTAGTCAGTGTGCGGCGAAACCTTAACCTTGCAGCTGTTATCCGAACAGATGTACGCACACGTCCCAGCGCCCCGCTTATGCAGCGCCAGTGTGTAAGATCTGTCGGTAACAGTGCATTTAAGCCCGGACTGGCCATGTCTTTTTAGATCGTTATAATTGGATCGTCGAGCATCCCTATTTGAGAGTCAGTTTCTGCGATAGAAGTTTGTTTTCGAATATCTAATCGATACTTCCTATACCGCATACGAGTTGTTACTCGTGTCGGCAGGGAATGAGGCTTTGTCACCGATATCGAGCAGAACCGTGGCTTCTGTAGGTATCAGTGTTGAGTTTGTGGTGTTGTTGTTGCTTGTTAGCCTTTTGTAAGAGATCCCGTGGCGGCCCGTTTGATACGGACGCACGGATCACTTTGGGATCGTGGGCAAGTTGTCAACGTGACCCGGGCACGAGACTGAACTTGGCACCGCGTAGAAATCCCGATAGTTATGCATTTAGGACGTGCTGTTGAGACCCTGAGAGACTGGTTTTGAGTCTAGTGTACTCGATGGGTGTGTCGTGTGGAATTTCTTACCATAAGAAAGTGCGCTTATAGCAATGGCTATAAGTGACGATCTTGATGGTACCGTACGAGATTCTGAGTACGGAATGAGGCGTTGTACGCCTCGAGTTCTGGGAAGAGAGGAAGTATCAGCCACATTTGTTGGTCCTTTCGTGATTCTCGACCGAGTCGGCGTCTTAGCCTGACGGTTGACCCCGTCACCGGAGCTTGCAAGAGTGCACGACCTGTTCAGTACCTAATGGAGAGGGGATAGGTGCGCGACTCTAGGCACGAGGCGATCTTTGACGAGCTGCATCTGGGCAGGACCTTACCTTTGATGAGGTACCGGTGACCTACTGGATTGACGAATCCAGCAGGGAGAGTCCGGAATAGGTACTCGTCAAAGTCCGGCAGGGTAACCATGGCTAGTACGGTATGACTTGGTAGAGTGGGAAGATTCGGACTGAGTATCCGAGGTGAGTGGTTTGAGCGTCTCTCGTGTGTCAGTTGTCCTATTGGATGATTTTTCTTGGATTTCCGGGGACGGAAATCGTTTAAGGAGGGTAGACTGTAATACCCCAATTAATTGTGATTTTATATTGTGGATTATTTGATTATTGTTATTATTATTACTATGGTATGTCAAAATATTATTATTTGTCTAATTGTGATTAATTGCCTAAATGATTATTTTTATTATTAATATAATAAGTCGTATAATTTTATTTTGTTCGTCGTCCATCGATTAGTTCGAAATCCTTGGTTATTCGTGTTATTAATATCCGAACCATTCTCCGAGTGTTGAGTTTGATAATCGACCCAATTTATCCGGAATATTTTTTGTCCTTTCGAATAATTTTGTTTCGGCTCAAGTCGAATTATTTTCGACCTTTATGTGCTATTAGATTTCCAGGTCTTTTTATTTATGCTCAGCCAAATTGTGAAGTCATTATTTGGCCCACACTTATTATTTTTCGGCCCATTTGAGATAAAATTTAGCCCTAATTCTTGCCCTTTAAACTCTTCAAACCCATCACCGCAACGCATCGTTCAGACGAGAAAAAAAATTGAACTCTACCCTTCTCCGTTTAAGCGAGAAAATCCCTCCCGAAACCTCCCTCAATCTCGCAAATCGGCCTCCTCCCGCCGCTGCCCTCGAACCACCGCCAACAATAGGCCGTCGGCGTCCAAACATTCATGACAGGAGCGTAATTTTGAGAACCCGATTTCAAGCGTCTGAGGGAGAAATTAGCCGGCGATAGTGAAATTCGACGGGTCGAGCTGTGAGCAGGCGAACCATGTCGTTCAACCCTTCACGGCGGTCCGATATCCAGCGACTAGAACCAGGCCCGACGACGAGAACCCCAGCGTTTCAGCAATTTCCGGCGAGATCAAGCTTTACCCCTAGTCGCGACTAATCTCGACTCCCGACGAGCTTCACCACCGTCCGGTCACGCTGAACTTCCGGCAGACTTCACAGAGACGAGCCGCGGTCCTAAACTTCAGGCTCTGTCCGATACCTTCAGATTCTCATGCCTCAAGTTCCGAGCAGCGGAGGCTTTGAGTTTTTTCCAACGAACAGTAGCAGATGGGATGCCGTTTAGCGGGCAGGCCGCCATCATCGTTTCAGCCGGTGACCCCCGACCACGTCAACCTTCTTCCGTAGCGGTCGATTTCTTTTTCTATTCCTCCGCGGCGGTGATGTCGAGCAGCCCCGTTCGAAAGAAATCCTTTGTCGGTTTCTTTTCGAGCAGCCCGTATGGGCGAGGGGAGCCCAAAACAGCAGCGGCAGCCTTTTGGGCCCGTGCGGGAAGAACAGCGATAGTCCCGTTTATGTCCGAGCAGCGGGGTTGAGCCTTCCGGAGAGACGCGGGTGAGTAGCAGCAGTCTCTCTCGAGCAGCGGGGCCAAAACGAGACCGAGCGTGTCGAGCCCGAGTCTGAAAGATCCTATTCCTTGTCCCGCAGTCCGTGTGTATTTGAGTAGTGGGGTAAATTTCGAACCCAACCTTTGATCTTTGTGCTCTTGTCTGATTTTGATGTAAGTTGCTTGAATTGTTGGAATTCTGTGTGTCATGGCAGTGGCTACTTCATAGCTAGTATTTCTATGAATTAAGGATTCAAAATGTGATGTCTCCAAGCATAAATTAGTTCTTGCCGCAAGCATTTTCTTATATACTGCATTTGTTGTGAACTTGAAATCTTAATCGTTTTCAAAGTTGAACTTAAAAGGGAGCTTGTATTTGTTGGCCATTGGTGGAAAAATATAACTTTAACTTTGTGAAGTTGCTGAGCATGTAGTATTGTTATGACCTTATACTTTAATGCTTGTTTTGGTTGTACCATTTCCGTGAATTGTGTTGATTTTCATAATGCATATAGCATGTTGTGTTGTGACCTCATTATGATATATTCTTGGTGTTATGTACTTATTTGCTTTTCATGTTATGAGGTTTGACAATGTGAATTGTATGCTGAAAGTTTTAAGAGTTTTACATGTTGTATAAGTGATAAATTACCAAGACCATGTTCATTTATAAAGTCCATAAGCATGTTGGTGTTTTGGAAAAAGAAAAGAGGCATGTTTGTATATTGGTTTTGATCCATCGTTGCTGCTTGTACATGCTGGTGCTGGTGCTGAGCCTATTATTTTGTTATCATGTTGAAAGTGAAGTGGTTTTGGAGTTTTCATATGAGGTTATAAGACTGTTAGCAGGTATATTTATGATTAAAAAAAAAAAAAAGAGAAAATAGAAGGCCATGTCATGTATTTCGTATTCTTTAATTGAATGCTTATTATGTGTATTTTAATTGACTTGTTGTGTTTGGGCTTTGATTGATCCTATTCGATGTTGAGCCTTTTTATACGATCTAGGGGTTGAAGTGTGCTTTACTTGCTTGTGTGGCCAAATTTACCCAATCAAAACCCTTAGTAATAATCAAACCCTAAAATGTAGGTGTTGAGGAGTCGAGCCTCGACCTACGATCCACTAGTTGTATTTTGCACTTTCGGGATACCAGGTGGGTACATTTATGATGTATTCCATATTTATTGCACTTAATATTTCGTATAAATGCTTTATTTGAAAAATGATGTATGCGTGAGAACCCCAGTCTAAGTGTCCCGTATGTTAGTGCCTTTGAGGAATGCATAAACAGTGAGAGGTCATCGGCCCGTAGATTCGGAGAGGTGACGCCCAGGTCCGTATGATATTCGTGAATGGGAAAAACATCTCTACTGTCTCCTGGAAAGGATCCCAGGCCCGTAGCCATTCGGTGATGGGAAGGTTTCCAGTTACTTCCTTGCCGTGTGTGATCGGAAGGTTGTTGTATGTACATAGGAGGTTTGCGATAGGGCCAAGTAGGGAGTTAGACTGTTGGATTCTATGCATACTGAATACTGTGGTTATGATAGTTTAAAATGTTATGCGAGATATACTATGCGATAATGGTGAGCTTGTTGGTTATGCTCACCCCCATTATTTTTCTTTGTTGTGCCTTCTCTTCCTTTGCTTTAGGTTGAGACGAGCTGGAGGCGGTGGCGTAAAGACGAGCGAGATGGTGGTCATTTACTGGATGTGTCTTTGCTTTTGCTTGATTTTATTTTTGTTAAACTACTTGCTTTTGTTTTGGATTGTTAATGCTTCTGTCGATTTGGATTATTTATTTCTTCTCTTTCGAATTATGTTTGAGTTACGTTTGAGCCTTGATTTATGCTAGACGATTGTGAATGATTTTTAGACTTATGTTCTTTCATGGGATTGGTTATTTTGATAGCTCGAGTAGATGTAGGTTCTTTGATGATTGGTTGTGTTGTTTGTTGTTATTAATAAGTAGCGCCCGGTTCTCGTTAAATGTTTTTAATTTGGATCTTAAAAAAAAAAAAAAAAACTCTGATTTTTATTTAAATAAATTTGGTAAATTCTTTAAAATAAAACGGGGCGTTACAGATATTTTATCGTGTTAGGAGTTATAAATTATTACGTTACATGTTAGAATTAATTATCTTATAGATTAATATATCTTATAAATTAGAAAAAAGATGTTATAATGTTAGAATTTAGAAATTATTATGTTACATGTTAGAATTAATTATCTTATAGATTAAAAAAAAATGTTATAATGTTAGAATTTAGAAATTATTATGTTTTAGATTATAATTTAACATGTTTTAAAAATATAAATATTGTACTATATTGCAGGTGTCATTGGAAGATTTTGGAGGAGATAGTATTGATTACAGTATTGGTTTCGATACAAGCACATTATTTTATAGTGATGCGCAGGCTATTGATTCTGCAAAAAAAAGGCAAATCTGCATGGCTTCTAATTGATTATTTCAAAACACACAAAAAAAAAAAATGAAGGGGCAGGATTTTGAAGTGCCATCGAGACGAACGTTACAAAGGCAAAGGCGGAGATTCTAGACGTACAAAAACGAAAGCGTCCAACTGCCCTTTTGAGATAAAAGTAAAACAGCTGATCAGAATGACATACTGGATGATCCATACAGGTAAAGATAAATCGAAGGGCTTTCACAATCATTCATTTGTTGTGTATCCTGAGGGTCATCGACAGTTCAGTGGCCTCAGCGATTCATCTAAAAGATTATTCGTGATATGAGTGCCGCTCAGGTGAGATTGACACAAATTTTGGCCGCGCTGCAGGAAAAAAATCCCGGAGACAACGCTAATCGGCAACAGAGAAATATATATGTATCTTCTAATAAATATATATATTTATATTTTTTAATTTATTGCTTTGAAAATAGTTATAAATTTTTTATTACAACTAATTATTAATATATATATATATATATTAATATATCTTTTAATTAAATTTTTTAAGTAAAATTGTAAATTAATGATAGGAATTAATTAAATTAATTTGAAATTAATTATAATAATTAGTAATTTTTTTCATATCTAATAATTATTGTAATAACTATTAAAATAGTAACTAATAAATTTTATAATATTTAGTAATTTATTATTATTATGATAATTAATAATTTTTTATCAAATAAATTAATTATAATACTTTTTTATTTATTAATATAATATTTTTTTTGTTTTAAATTATAATAATTATAAATTATAATAATTATTATAATTAACGTTAATCGGCGACAAGTATACAACTTTAGAGGAAAGTTGCGGAAAGAAAGTTTCGAGGGTAGAGACGTTCCTACCCAGCTTCTACATTTGGCTATGAGTAGCGAGTATACAGTTTTTGCAGAAGCCGATCAGGACACAAATGCGTTGACACATATATCATGGCCCATCCTGCATCGGTCCGTCTATTACGGACATATTACTGGTATGCCGGCATAGATTCCACGTACGAAACCAACATGTTACTTTATAAATACTTTATTAGTATGAATCTTAAATAGTATGTTTGATTAACTTTTATGTGTTTATATTTTTTGTCTTCTTGGTCTCATTTGCATAGGTACAACACAAGTTGTCGTTGGTAGAGATGATTGGGATGGCGCCATGCAAGAACGGCTTCCAAATTGCGTATGCCCTGATCAAGGACGAGAAAGAGGCCAGTATGACTGGATTCTCCATAAGTTGAGACTTCTGATAGGCTATGAGGTACATCCTAATGCGGTCGTCGGTGACAGAGAGTTGAGTTTAATGGCTCCTATTCAGAGGAACTTTCTCCAATCACTCCACTTACTCTGCACGTGGCACGTCAACAAGGATGTGGAAGACAGAGCCTACCACCTCTTAGGAAAAAAGCAAAAATTTCTCTCAGAGGTTCACGCACGGTATATATTTAATATATATAAAATATAACTGTGTTATTTAAATATATATTTAATATATATAATTATCTAACTGTGTTATTACTGCATTAATTAAATATAATTCTAATATTTATACATTTTTTAATTTTCTATTATTTAAATATATATTTAATATATATAAAATAACGCAAAAAAAGGGAAAAAATTGAAAAAATATATACTATATAAATATATATTTTTTAAAAAGCGAAAAAAAAACGCAAAAAAATATATATTAGAATATAATGTTATTAGTACATTAATTATAATCTAATGTTATGTAATGTATTACCAGGTCAGCGCTTGAAGCTTCGAGACTCAGGAAGAGTACGCAGTATAAAGGAATCCTTTTCGCGAGCTTGACACTGAGGGTCTCGCATTACTGCCCGAATTTATTGAACTC